GCCTAAAGCTGGCTCTTATGCAGAATCAAAATTACAGAAAAGACAGAAAATGAAGCATCTTAAACTAAAGAAGAGGGAAGCTCTCCCATTCCCTGAGCATACTTACTGGAACGGGGGGACTGGGACAAGGCCTAGTGGCGGGAGAAGTTGAAGTTCGCAGGCTCTGGCAACAGGAAGGGTTGGGGACGGGACAGGAAAGGGTGTGGATACGTTAATGTTGGCTCTGGGGAGGAGGTGAAGATCAGAGGGGAAGGTGGGCAAAGGGTCCGCACAGAATCTCATGGCTTCCAGTTCAGAAAGGGTGTTGTGCCCCCTCCCACACACACACACACCCCCGCACGCACATGCACAGTCACACACACACACACACACACACACACACACACACACCTGCCTGCCAGCCCCAGTAGGGCTACATGCCATTGGTGCTACATAATCAAGTCTACCCAGTCTCTGGGCCTCAGTTTTCCAAATAAAACTGTATAGAAAACTACTGAGATATGCTGGAGACAAGAGTTAACGCAAAGGGAGCCTCAGGTTTCCCTGCCCCAAATTCCCACTGATGACAACCACATACGTGAGCTTGTACAACTGCTTAACATATTTGGAGTCCAGTAAGATCCTGCTTGACCAGAACTCACAGGCTGGAGAGAAGCTTGAATACCACTGACTGAATACTTTCCTGGCCTCCCCCAGGCCTAGTTCAATTCTCCCTTTACAAAGGAGCAGAAAAGAGCCACATTCCCTCTGCCCCTCCCACAGACTCCTGAATTCTGGGAGGCAAGGCATAAGCAAACCCACAGGCCTTCTGTGAGCTCCTGCCCTTTCCCCACCCTCCTTCCCAAGGAAACGCAGTGCCCTCCCCTGAGCAGTGAATCAGGTGGACACCACCTCTGGGAAATGAGGTTCCAAGAGCCTGCGGGCAGCTGGCAACTTTCCCAGGGTTTCACTGCACCCAGGCCCTGTGTTAGCAGAGGGAAACAAGTCCCCGACCAATGCCATTGTGACCAGAAGGGCAGCCAAGCTCAGCAATCAGATCACGGAAAAATGTTTCCTAAGGGAAACCGGGTTCACCATCCAGGCAAGGCAGGTTATGATGGGGTGGGACAACCATGTCTTCCTCCTCCCATTGGTCACTCCAACACCAAAACAGTCTCCACAGTGAACCTCTTTCATGGTGAAACTCCCACGTCCCACTCACCCCCTAGTCTTTATGAGGAGTGGGCATCTGCTGCCAGGCACTGAGGAAGAGCTGGGCACTGCACAGGCTCACGGGCCTTCATGAGCCCAGTGGCATCTGCTTGGGGCTGCCAAGCAGCCCTCCTGTCTCTGGCCTCGGCTTCAGCACATGGTGTGGTGAGGAGCCGCAGCCTGGGACGCTACAAGGTTCAGAAAAGAGTGTGGGTGCAAAACCCCAGGAGAGGCCGAGCCAAGAGCAACACGGGTCCAGATCAACGAGCCAACTCATGCAGAACGCACCTTTATACGCAGCCGATAGGTCCGAGGAGCTCCTCCTGGGCTACTTCTTGTCCTATTCCAAACAGCTTCCCACACGCCTCCCCCTTGGGAAAGGTGGCTTCCAATAGATCTGCCCCAGCTCGTGCCACCAGCTAAGGACACTTGCGTGGACAACCTGCTGGGATTCCCCCTTTGACCATTCCTGTCTGAGCAAAGGGAAACACAGTCAAGAAGAAATTTGTGAGGCCCAATTTCTTCCAAGGTCTGTGGGCCAAAAAGGCAGCACCTCCAACAAGGCGAAGCCCAGACCCTTTAAAATCGGTGCCTGCCAACTCCAGGGGGGCCAGAAGTGGCTTCCCAGAAAACACTGCCCCTGGTGGCAAACCCATGCCGCCGCGGCTCAAGTACAACCCAGAGGCGTGGAACTTTTGCCTGGCGTTACACAGCCAGCTAGTGACATAGACCTTTGATTTCACCGCCCAGCAACCCCTTAACAAGAATGCACTTCCTGGATGAGGTAATTTAATTAGTGTTTGTCCAGCACCCTGCAGGGAAAGGCGATCACCCACTCCTTCCCTCCTATGCAGGGGCTGAGTAATCCACAGTCTCTTGGTGCCACTTAATCTCAAACGTCTGGATAACTCACCCTCCCCGCGATTTCCCTCCAGGGTATTTACTTTAAGAAAAATATCCATTTGCTCCCTAATTTAAACAGTTCCTCTCGCTTTCAATCTTCAACAAATGGCTGGGTTTGTGTGGTTTTGTTTGTTGTGGTTTTATATATATATATTTCATCTTACAGGGACACCCCCTCCAAACCTGCCCAGAAGGACATCCAGTAATCTCTCTGGCTGGTCCCACTCTGTATGGGACATGGCCAGGAAGCTTAAGGCGGGATCTTGACCCACTTTTGTGTGGCTCATGACCCTAACCCTACCCTCAAATCTGCTGCCCACCCCCATTTTCTCAGTTTATTTCCATATCCTTTATATTATCCCTTAAGTCACCCTGACTTCCCAGCACCTTCCACTGGAAGCCACAAGTCAGCCCTGCTGTCAAAAGCTGCCCTTGCCGGGGTGAGGTCCTAGTTCTCGCCCTTTGCTTCATCCTGAAACTGCCCTCCACACCCCCAAATTACATTCGCAGGCACCCTGGGCCCGAATAACAAACATTTGCCAGGGTAAACCCATTCCCTGCCTTCCAGATAACTTGTCCTTACCAGAGATAAGCTGCAAGGCAGACAGATAACAACTGGGATATGCAGTTATTAAGGGCAGATTTTAAAATGACAAAAGGATACATTTTAAAATAAAGCCCACTTGAAAATCAGCTTCCCTTCCAACTCAATTACATTCTGGCCTCCTGCTCAGAAGCTCCTTAGACTGAGCGATTCCAGCTCCCATTGGCTTCGGGGTTTTTGAGGAGCGTTGCCTTGGCAACAGAAGGCCCAGACACCTGAAACAGGAAATAGAAGCCACAGTGCCTCCCTCCCTCTCTGGGACATCTGGAGTGGCCAGCAGGGTGTCAGGCCTGGGGCTGCAGTGTCCGCTGCTGAGAGGAATTGGGAACTCCACTGCCCACATTCTGCTGACTGTGGGGACCTTGGTGTTAGAATGGAGCTGAAAGGAGGTCACAGGGTAGCAAAGCAGGCAGCAGCCAGGGCCTCAGAGAAACTGTCAGGGATGAAGGCAGGTACCCAGTGCTGTGGCTGATCAGAAGGGTCATTCCAGCAGGTGTCACATTATGCCAACTCCATCACACCAGAGTGACGACACGCGCCCCCTTAGCAGATGGGGGTCCCGACACAAGCCTGTTTTCCTTGTGGTCATGACCCAGACCACCACTGACCATCATCTACAGCTCCCAGCCAAGCCTCCCAGCATCAGGCATCCCTAACAGGCATCCTTTGACATTGTGAGTCACACTGTGGCCCTACAGGGTGTCCCCCGGTAGTCAACAACCCCTGGATGGAGCCTTGAGACTCCAAGGTGTCAGCAAGACTTGGGTGTTGGCAATACAACATATCAGATCTCCTAGAAGTTACATGACCAACCTGTGACTCTAACTTCCATCACAAGGTGCGCAGGAAGTCTCCCACAATCCCCATCATACAGGGACCCCAGGCCATCCCAGCCTCTTCCTGGGAAGTGAGTCCTTCTATCAGTGTTATCCAGGATCTCTCCCTGCTCTGCAACTGTCATTCCTTCTACATGCATCGTTCTACTCTGCTTGTCCAGCGACAAAATCAGTGAAGTCTCCTACCCACCTCATCATCCCTTAACCACTGTCTACCTCTCCACTGCCCCAGCCAGAGTTGGAGGCATGGCTGAGGTGGTCTTTATGCAGCCCCTGCTGAGAGTTCATTACCTGCAAGGACTGTCCTTCACCTCCAGAGCACTGCCATTAGTGGACATATCCTCCTCTGGAGTTTTTAAAACGACAAAAGGATACATTTTAAAATAAAGCCCAAGCTTTATTTGTTACTGCACAAGCCTGGGCTTGAGTATATGCAATCAGTGAATGCTTTCATTCTTTCTCAGGAAGTCTGAGCCCTGTAGCTACTTTACACCATACACATTCCCTTCTCTGGCCTGACAAGCACAGGGGCCCTTTCTGGGAATGCATCCAAGCCAGCTGGGTTGACCAGGCCACTGCCTTTACCTGCACAGCCATCATCAGCTGCACACTGCTCACAGTGACTACAGCTGAGCTCCCTCATTTGGATAATTATTCCAACCTGTTCCATGCCATATTGACGGCTTGGTCCCAAGCCCCATTAGACTCTTAGCCCCAGAGGTCCCCCCTTACCTTTGGGGTTCTCCACTCTGGATAAAAGGCCAAATGGCTGACATGTGGCTTGATGATACTCTGACTTCCCTGCTTTCCTTCATTCTGAGAAACTGTCCTCCATCCCCCATAAGGGGAGGAAGAGGAGGTAATGTGTCACGGGAAGATACCTCCAGCCCTTCCATCTGCCCCAAGAGTGAGTCAAACCCAGGCCTCCCCCTGGGGTATTCTGCTCATCTATCTCTCATTTCCCTCTCCATTGGGCTCCAGCACTCCCCATTTCCCACTCCTGTGGCGCATCTTTTCCTTCACGCCCTGGTCTCACCCTTGGATCTGGGGACATTCTCTGTCTCCAGCCTCAGCCACAAGTCACACTTGTCCCCACATCTGGGCTGACTTCACCTCTCTAAGAAAACACACTGCCTCTTCCAGCCTCCAAGTGGCGCCCCCTGTAGTCCAAGAAGCACTACACATCAGAAGTGGCTCAGCGGCTCCCAGAGGTCCCTCCTGAACTCAAAGAAATTGCACCAGTGGCACTTCCTGTCTGGAAATCCCTCTACGCCCCTCCTCTGCATGCCCCCTAAACACCAGCATGAAAGGCAACAGCAGCAGCAGAGGCAGCAGTAGGGAACAGGAGGGAGCAGGAGACGGGCTTTCCACACCAGTTAAAACTTGCTAGGACCCCAGTCCTGCAGCTGCTGCTGTCTTCAGTAGTGCCACTGGGAGGTGAGAACTCCAAGGCTTCTGAGACCTACCTTGCGCATGTCTTTACCAAAGGTCTCACTGTAGGTCGTGCCAAGGATTTCAAACTGGACATAGGGATTCGAGCTGTCCTCCCGAAACTCCATCACCCCCGTGAGGCCAGTGATGTGGCCCTGCAGGAGAGGAAGAAAGGCCATTGGAGGGTGGGAGAAATATGGATGGGGTAGGGGATGCAGTCACAAAGAAGCAAAATGTCTCCAAGATGGGTGCGATGAGGGTTATGAGGGGGCTGTGGGCAACCTATAACAAAGACTCTGTGGCTGGCAGTCAGTCTCAGAGCAAGATCAGTGGTTCTCAAACCACTGGCTGATAGGCTTGCACTTGACCTTCCTGCAGTCAGGTCAGTGTGTTTACAGCCTCTGCTCTGTGGCAGGCAGTGTGTGAACCACGGGATTAAAGACTGATAGCCTGTGCTTCCCTGGTCTCACCTTGCAGCCTGCTCCAGGGTCTTCTCTTAGCCTAACCAGAACAGACGCCACAAGTCACCCACAGCCATGTCTAAACCACGGTTGTAACTTGCAGAGTAACAGATATAAGCACTGCTCCAACCCTGGCTTTCAGACATGCGCCCCCTTGGGTAAATCATTGCCAATCTCCAGCTTCAGCCTGAAGTTAATCAGACCCATGTCACAGAGCCCCCAGGACCCAAGGAGACCAGGTGCACAGAGCACAGTGACCTGAAGGACTAGCTGTGGTGACCGCCAGCTGCACACCCTCTCCAGGGATTTAGGGGGTTCCACGGAGCAGCAGGGGCTGGATGAGCTGTGGTGAGTCCCCCGTCACCCTGCTCTTTTCCAACCTCAGATAAAGATGTCACCCAGTGTTAAGCGCCATGGGAGAGCCCCAGAGACTAAGCTGGCCCACAAGGGGCCCCACTCTGTTCTGATCTGCAATAAATTTAATCTAACATCAGAACAGGTTCACTTCGATTGAGACCATGCACGATTTATTGTGACTAAAACCCCTAACACTATAGATTTCCCTAAATGCTCTTTTGAAGCCTCTAAGAGCCAATTCACTCTAACAAGTCTTGCATGAATTACCCAATTCACTTCAAATCCAGCCTCCTAAACATGGCACACATCACACACATGTGCACACACACATGTGCACACCCATACGTGCTGAGGTCCCAGCTGATCAGCACATGGCAGTGCCAATTGAGACAGATCCCATGGAGGGTGGCAGCCTGCATGGAGGGGTATCTGGCACACAAACTAAGCAGCTACCTCCACATTTTGCTTACTGGTGACCTTGGGCAAAATACTGAAACTTTCTAAAACCTAGTCTCCTTATATTAAAATGGAGACCATAATAATGACACATACTTGAACCACAGCTCCCCCAGCTTAAATGCAAGCACAGGATGAGTGACAGGGAGAAGTGACAAGTCTTGCATGAATTACCCAATTCACTTCAAATCCAGCCTCCTAAACATGGCACACATCACGCAGTGTGCACACACATATGTGCACACCCATACATGTGCACATATGTGCTGAGGTCTGAGTAGACTGAGGATACCCCTACAAAGATCCCAGCTTCAGGCCAGCTGCTGGGCAGAGAGTTGGGGGACCAAGAGGGGTCTGTACCCAGCTTTGGCCCACCCAGAGAGAGTGTTCCTCACACACACACACCTTTTTGATCGTGTCCAGCATGGACCTCCCTCCATTCCATGGCTTGGTGGACTTCCGTATGCAGTTAAGACTCGCCATGCTGTGCCACTTCCGGTCCTCTAACTTCCTGTGGAAGGCGTTGGCCAGCATCAGAACACTGTCATACAGGTAGAGGTTGGAGATCTGCAAAGACAAAGGCAATGAATGTCTACACTAGTGGATTTGCAGAGACAGAAAGCAGGGCAACATGGGATGCAATGCTAAGATGTGGAGCCCAGTGTTACGCCGTGAGCCTCTGGCTTCCTGGTGCTTATTTAACAGCCCTGCAGGTACTGGAGCTCCCATAGGATAAGAACTGTCACTGCATCAGGGATGGCAGGGAGGCAGGTCCATGAGTCAACGAGGAGAACCAATGTGACCAGAAGCAGGGAACTGACCTGCTTAGGTAGCAAAGGGTGGTGGGAAGGACAGGCAGCAAGCTCAGTAGGATAAAGGGAAGGAAGGACATTTGCAAAAGCATGAAGGTATACAGGAGCAGGCCCAGTTGAGGTAGGCTCTACTGGGGGTCTCTGTAAGGGATCAGATGGAAAAGATTTTAGGCTTTGAGGGCCTTCCAGTCTCATTTGTAACTGCTCAAACTTGCTGTCAAAACCTGAGAGCAACCACAGACAATAGAGCAACAAATGGATGCAGTCTTGCACTGATGGAACATTATTCACCAAAATGGCAATGTGTTGGATTCACCCCATTTCCAGAGTTGGCCGATCCTTGCACTAGAAGACAAGGCAGTTTAGCACGACAGTCTGAGTGATACAGTCAGTGGGGCTAAGGGAAGCAGGATACAGCCATGCAGAGCCTCATGGGACATGCTAAGGAGAACAGCAGAAAGGACTTCAGGGAAAAGAGTGCTGCTGGGGGGTCTGGTGAACAGACCTGGGTGTGTCACAAAGACCACGCTCATCACTGCTGCCCTCGGGAGAGTGGTGGCCCGTGTGACCATGCGTCCCGATGAAGCAGCAGACTCCAGCACCTGCTGTACAGGGAGGCACTGCCACACACGGGACACATTTGGGGTTTGTGAATCAGTAAGTTGTCTGCAGGGACACAGAGGTGACACAGCCCCATCCCAGAACCCCCAAGACTAAAGCCTGTGTGAGAAGATAGGAGGCAGCCTGAAGAGCAGCATGGCGGTGCAGGGACAAACCGGCCCACAGGAGCCAGGGGTGGGAAAGGCAAGCCTGTCATTAGTCTCTGAGGACCAGGAAGGCCAGCAGAGCTCCCAGGGGTGGAGCGCAGCCCTGATCTCAGATGTCCCCTCAAATCACCCTAGGCCTCCAATGGAACACTGAAGCACAAAGACGGAGAGGAGGAGGGTGGGGGTAGAGGAGAAGTGACCTCCAGCCTCGGTCAGGCTGGGGCTCCTCACTGGTAACTGTTGCACAAATGACGGTCAGCCAAAGTGGGTCAAGGGGACCAGTCTCTGCACCCCCAAGCGCAAGGATCCAGCTAAAAATATGCCACCACAACAACACAGCATACAGAAAGGAGGCTATGAGGGCCTCGAAGGACTCCTGGGAAGATCAGACAGGCTCTGCAGGCTGCAGGACAAGCCGCTGCGACCCCCAACCTCAGCTCCAGCTCCCCCACAGCCCGTGTCCATGCCTCGTTATCGGCCTCACTTTCTTCTTTGTCTGTCTTAGTCTGGGCGCCCTAGATAAGAACCTGGGTGGTAGGAAGCGTCCCCCACAATGAAGCAGAAGATGGGCCTTGGGGAGGAGCCATCAGAAACATCCACTACGCTGTGTCTATCCAGCAGCAGCTTGTGCCAGCTCTCATGGGCCACTGTCACCATAACACATCCAAGCAGAGCCACCTGCTTCCCCTACAAGTGGCCCCTGGAGTGGCCGCTGCTGAAGGGCCTTGTCCTGTGTCCTTGCTGTGCTCCATGGCCCCATCAGGTGCCTCCTGCAGCACAGGTGTGAGAAACAAGAGGAGGGCAGATAGATGTTGCAGAAGCGGCAGCAAGGTGCCTGGATGGTGACCACTGCTGACTGAACAGGGACCCCGGCCATGGGGAGGCAGCAGGTTAGTGCCCAGCTCATGTTCAAGAGCAGAGCCGCTCCCTCTGATGGGCACAGGTAAGTGACCCACTCCCACAGGGGACATCATGACAGAAGTGTATCCCTGGCACTCATGGCCTAGGGGAGCATTTACGCAGTGACAGGACCGGCGCCCTCCCTGTTTCCACCAGCTCCACAGCCCCCACAGCCCCACCCATCTCTTCTCCCCTCCAGACTACACACTCATAATGGGGATGTGGTTATAAGAGAATAAAAGCCTCTTAAGAGCTGGTTAGGTTTTCAGGCTTTATTTGATTTTTGTCCAAAAGGATAACTTGAAGCCGAGAGTCCTTGACAATCTGAAGACTTCTCCACACATTCACAGAACTCCCAGCCACCCAATCACAGCGGGTGCTATTGAGCCAGCTGAGACCCTCTGACCCATGGCCCCACCGACCCCTACACTTGAATACCAGGGCAGAGCCCACAGCACTGCCCCTGCTCTGGCCCAGAGCAGCACCTCCAGAATTTCCCTTTTTCCCTCCAGCACTTCTGTTCACAATGATTTAAGGTACTCAACAAACCTATGAATGCAGAGAGGCCTATAATGGAGAGGAAAAAGCAGAATGTCACTCAGAAAGGCCAAGGAAAACCCTCAGCCCTCCCACAAGTCTACTTTGGAGAGGGTACACATTCTAGTTCAAAGAAATAAGCTTAAGCAATGCTCTCTTCCAGGCACAGATAGGCCTCCCACAGCTCCCAAGTAATGCTGGGTGCCCCCTTTTCCATGTATATTACACACTGTCAGTTCATAAATGTGTTTGCCTCATGGATCTCTGAGGTCCTTACATGCTTATTTCTAGAATCCATCACCAACAAAGGCACATGGATGGTGCTTATTAAATGTTTGGTGGATGAATGCATAGTGGACACCTGTGCACGAAGAAAAATATGGGTGGACAGATGGGTAGACGGTGGTGGATGGGTTTGGTGGATATGTGGATGCGTGGGTGAGTGGGTGGGTGGATTTATGGATGCATGAATAAAGGGATGGGTGGATGGAATACTGCAAAGTATATGTATATATGGATGGATGGATGGATGGATGGATGGAGGGATGGACGAATGGAGGGATGGATGGGTCTCCTGCTACACACTAATTGTGTTTCACAGCAAGACAAAATGTAAAAAACAGCAGGGAAAAGAGATTTGACTTCTCCAACTTTGACTTGGGATCGAGCCTCCTTCATTTGCTCCTCATTTACACTCTTCTCCAAACATTTTTTTATCCTCCCTTGGAATTGTTTCCACCTACACTACTTATTCTTCCCCCCTCTTCTGGTAAGAAGCTGCTCTCCTGTGAGCCTGGGGACTCTACTCAGAAGTCTTAGCAAAGATCGGCCCTAACCTCCAATCCCCAGATCCACTTGCAGACTGCTCACCAGACTGGGGAGAGACCTGGAGGGGCCAGCTCATTAGCCACCCGAGATTTACACCTTATTCCTCACTTACTCATTTTGTAAGGACAACTCCCATGTGGCCATGTGTGCAGCTCGGGCTGTGGTCTTGACAGGATTCCCAACAGCTTTGGATTCATCCCAACCTGGGCCAGATTTGCCCACTGCTAGACCCCAGTGCCTTCAGCTGAGCATGAATATACCATGTATTCAATAAATTCTCCCAGCCTGTGCAGCATAGTCCATTGAGTGGGTAAAATTAAATCTCCACTCACACTCAACTGCTGAGTGATACTGGAAAAAAAAACCATTTCATCATCTTACGTTTTATCTTGTTGGCAGTAAAATACAATGATCTGGACCTCTGGTGAGGTGCAGTGCACTGTGGCAGCCCTGACTGACTCGCTATAACATGCAGATGGCAACAGCTCCGCGCACTAAAACTGTTCTGAGCTCTTTGCATGCATTTTTACTTTCAGAAGAATGGAGGGGACAAATAAAGGACCCAAGGGGCTCCTGACTTCAATGTGGGTGAGCTGTGGGCTCTGACTGGGCTGTCCCCAGTGGTTGGAGCCTAGCGAGGTTGTGACACACAGAACCAGAGGACTACTAAGGAGAATGAACTTGTACCTGCCCACACCTTTCATTCTTTTTTCCTTGGTCTTTGAAAGGAACACAGAGATCCTGGGTGGCTCCTACAGCTTGCTAGTCAGAAGTCTGAGCAAAGATCAGCCCTAACCTCCAATCCCCAACTCCACCTGCAGTCCACTCACCAGGAAGATGCTACCTCCGGCTTCTCCCAGCCTGTGCAGCATAGTCACTGCTACCACAGACCTCCGAGCCTGACCGAGGTCTTCTGGGGCTGTCTCTTGAGGGAAAGGCCATTTCTCTGTGCCTGGGATATTCCATAAGGGGCAATGTAGGAAGGCTCAGAATGTGTGGCTGGAGGTGGGGGGCTCCATGGCACCCTGACCCAGGTTCCTGGAGTAAAGAGTGTGGTCTACTGTGGTCACGGGCCAGACCTTTGTGCTTTAAGGCTGGCCCAGCCACGGGAGCCTCTGGCTCTGCAGCTCCCTCATTGAGGCCACCCAGTACTACAGGGGGTTGGGCAAAGCAATAGGACATGGCTGGAGCAGGAGTCAGCTGCAGCCAGCACTGTGGGAGCCACAGTGCTCTGTATTCTGCCACTTGGACCCATCACCTGCCTGGGCAGGAGCTTCCCCTCCAAGCTGTCCTCTCTTAATGGTCACCTAACACTGCCCCCTGCATGGCCCGGGCAGCCTCATCTCTCCCCCAAGCCTTTCCTTTCCACTTTGCACAGTCATATTCTCAGACACACCTCCCGCTGCATGGCATCTCTAAGAGCATTGCCCTGGGGGCTGCCCACTTCTCCCTACGCCACATACTCAGCCTTGGATTCAAACACACTGCCCTCGAAAGCCACATGTCACCCTCCCTAACAGAACGAAATGCTACAAATGAAAATGAAAAATTCCCAGTTTAAAAGGGTTTGTGGGAATTAAGAGAGAGCGTATTTATGAGATATCTAACATAAGCACTGCCACGTAGTAAGCCCTTACATCTGTGTTTCTGGAATGCATTAAGCTGAGTGACTAGCACTAAATCACTTTTTACATGTAAACACCAAGGTAAAAGATCTCAAGAT